TAAATATAGATTGTGATACATATAATGGTGAAAAAGATAACTTCCATCATGGTATAACCTAAAGCAATAATAAAATTCAATTATTTATTTCACATATCTTCTTTCTTCTATCTGATAAAAATATATATAAGGTTTGTTCTTTTCAGCCGAACTTTTTGTAAAGTTCATACTTCCTTTTTTTCTCTTCATGTTAGAAAAACAAATAGAAAAGATAAATGATACAAGAAGTTCAGCTAAAAAGTCCAGGTCTATGTGTCCCCTTATCTAGCTTAAATATTCTTTTATCTATCTTGTATTCTATCTTTCAAGAATTTTCGTTTCTTTAATAGTCACCAGAAATAGTCACCTAATAATTTTTTTGGTAAACATTCAATTGGCATGTTTTTTACATTCCAATTAGAAGTTACTATTAATTACATATTGAATATTATTAACTATTTTATAATTAATAATATTTTGATTTGAGATCTTTATACGAAGATAATTGGAAAAAATTTTTCGGTCTGACGTAGAAATAATGTTACAAATATCAAACTTATAATTTTATTAACTTATAATTTTAGACAAATTTGATTTTTACAGAATTAAAATTTTATTAAAATTTTAGATAAATATATTCAATTAGTTTCTTTATTTCGGTCATATAAAGCAGTCAATTTTTAATTTTTTCATAACAATGTCATTCGTTTACATTTTTGCAATTGAAGAAATTTAAACGAATATATTGCCATGGTGGAATCAAATGTTGGTTGCTTTAGAACATATTCGGATTCCTACCCGAATACTCCCAGAGTGTGATTTTATCTTTGTTTAATGTTCCATAAACAACAAAGATGGAATGATGATGGAGTGACACTCGAGTGGGAATTTGAATCCAGCACTACACGACAAAAATAAAGAAACTATAATGAATGCATCTATCTGAAATTTTAATAATAGCACTGTAAAGGATCAAATTTGTCTAAAATTATAACAGTTTGATATTTGTGCCAAGAATTTTTCTCATATATCTTCTCGATATTTTCTTTAAAAAAAGAGGAGAAAAAATGGGTATGAATTATTGATCAATACAGAAAACTATATTACTATTTCATTTTTCTCTCTGGGATATAAAATCATCATCACTATTCTTGGGTTAAGCTAAAATTCTGCATTAGTCAATTCTTCTGTTTTGAAAGCAAATACCAATACGTCATGACGTCATGTAGTTCAACAATGTATCTTATGCATACACGGTGACAAATCAATTATGTAAAAGATTTTAAAACTTAACACAAATTCCTTTACGTATAAATGTTTCCATCGCATGCGCAATATAATTTTCTTTACTTACTTAAATTACTAAGGCATCGTAAGATAAACAGTGAATTCGATTGGACGCACTCAGTGCGCACTGGTGCATATTAAAGTGCATTGTACAAAAATTGATATAAAGATATGTATTCGATATAAATATAGAAACAACGAATTAAATCATGAAATTGGTTTAATTTCCACCGAAGATTTAATCCGGATCAAAATGTAAGAACTAATCAACTACAGTCAAGTATTCCCCTGTTACAGTCAAACGACAGGGGACTACTTGACTGTAGTTGGTTGGTTCTTACATTCTAATCTGGATTAAACCCTCGGTGGAAACTAAGCTTGTCAATACATTTTATTGTTATTAAGTAAAATATGTATTTTGTATTTCAAAATATTTGCACTTGGATTAAATCAATGTTCATCAACAGTTTTAACATGTACTAGTGTTCAACCGAATTCATTAAAAATACAAATTAACAAGTTATATATAAAAAATTATATATAAAAATCATATAAATAGTTTTAAAACTGAATCATTATTCTTCGACTATTTTTATCTCGACATATTTTTGCATAAGCGCCAATTATGCGTTTAACAGCGTCAGAGAACGACATGAATGACGACACACGTTCGCTACGGAGGAGTCAAGAAGAATCATCCCGCCCGCCGGTTTTGCGCATGAACGAGCAGCTTCTAAGTACTCCCGCGAGGATGCCACGAACGAGATACTTGACAGATCGCCTTGTGGGCGTTCTAACTTCCGTCGTTCCGTTTGCCTTGCTTTATGTCAAGCATAAAAAGCCATCGCATACGATTGATTGTCTGACGGTCTTCCTCAACAACGACGCACGATATCTCAAAATCGAAAAGCTGTTTTTGCATGTTTTCGCTAGATACGCTTTAGTACACTTGCGTAGCGACAATGAAGACGAATCGAATAAAAAGTCCTAGTTGTCTCGTATATACAACTGCGTTACGCTTTCTACGCTCAAAAAATGGAAAATGTATATCTGCATAGAAAATTTAAGAGTGAGAAGAGAACATGAGTAAGAAAAAGAGAGCAAGAAAAGAAAAAATATGTTTATTTCTATCAACGACTTTGATGATGAAATTTATTTTATATCATTTTCCAATCCTTAAGTTCACGATATTAGAAATCGCTTTGACAATGTGAAAAAGAATTATTCAAATCATATTTGAACAATTTGATCATTTGAATACGATTGTTTATTTCTTCCATCCGAAATTTCAGAGCAATTTTCAGCACCGTGAACACACGAATTAAAGAAAAATTAAAAAAAGTAAATTGAATAAAAATTAAAGTTAATCTATATTAGAAAAACAGGTGTAAGAGAGATTCGGGAAGTGTTGATCGATTGCATTCGATCGAGTATGCTTTTAAGTGGTCACAAGTAACGATTGAGATATTTCTCGCACGAGATTACGAGGAACAGGATCTTTACGTGCTATATCATCCGTGTGTGTGAGATTCTCTTTACATCCTTTATAAGCAACACACTCACTCACTCACTCACTCACTCTCACTCTCTCTCTCTCTCTCTCTCTCTCTCTCTCTCTCTCTCTCTCTCTCTCCTCCCTCTCTTTCTTTATCGTGAGAATGATGCCATTTGTATGAAAAGTTCGGTTATCCGAAGTTGTTAGAGAAGATTGACGCTATGATACGTCAAGCCGATACTTACTTGCCGACGAAATTCTCAAGCACGGAGCTCTTGCCCGCGCTCTGGCCGCCCACCACAGCGATCTGCGGCAGATCGAGCTGCATATGCACACCGAGTTGTGTGAACGCATCCTGCAGCTTGTTCACGATCGGAATCAACTGTTCCATACCCGTGTTGCCCGACATCCTGTCGTCGGAATCGTGTAATTTGCGTTACACCACTCGTATTACACGCACGCACGCGCACACACAACACACATACACACAACACACACACACTTTTTTTCTCTCTCTTTATCTCTTCTCCACAGCTGTGATTGCGATATGCTTACAGCGCACCACCTGGAGAGCTGCTGCTCTGCCACCGCCCGCACACACGACCTCCCGAAAAGGGTAGTTGACAGAAGCGACTCAACTCTACGTTACGAGAGCTAAGCGTGCACTAAGCAAGATGGCCGATTTTTGTGACGCTGCCGCACTGTGTCCGCCCGCCTGCCTGGCTGATAGCTCTCGTTCTTCCGTGGCAAACTTCACCGCATCTTCACCGTCGCAATGACGGTGGCGGCGACACGAATCGCTTGATCTTGCATTCCTCAGTCTCGCTCGCTCACGTCGTAGATACGCGCGCGCACGCGCGATACGTTGAGGAATACGATTTGAAATCTCGCTCGTACACGTTACTGTACCAACCCCAACGTACGCTACATGAGATTTCGGAACGTTTACACAACTTTACGCGACTGTTACTGTACGCGGCGACAGCAGTAGCAATGACGATGCTGGATTCTCGATACTTACACTGTCTACTACTCGAAGAGCGCATAGAGTGGTTCAATCGATAATCGAAGCGTGCGCACAAGTCACAGTGTCATCGTCATCGCTACTGCCGTATGTCGCCGTCGTGACCTACTTTCGCGGCGTGAGATAAAATCCATATCGTACACGAGTTGTCCGTCAACGCGCTCTGACCTTTTTACTCTGCGCATCCCACATCCGTTCATTAGAGTGATAGAGTATAAAGAGGATGGCGCGAAATGCTGATTGGCTTCTTTATTAAGTGTCCTTATTATTAATTAGAAAGAAGACAAATTAAAGAACTGTCGCACACAAAATTCCGTAACAGTATACGTAAGATGTAAACTTAAGTCGATGAGTCAATCAGGATACTACTTTTAATAGATGAATTTCAACTGGTTGAAATTCATCTTTATTGCGAATTATGGATAAGTTTACTTACTTATTTCCATTTCCGTTAGATTACATAATCTAAAGCAGTATCCTGATTGGCTCATCGGCTTAAGTTTACATCTTACTGTTACGGAATTTTGTGTGCGGCAAGCCTACAATAGATGCTTTAAGTTTTAGGCTGTAAAAATTGACCAACTACAGTCGAATGCAAGAAGAATAATTGTGATTCGTTTATTCCTTATGGCTTAGGGAGAATCTTATTTTTTAGATGAAAAAAAATTGATTTTTTGGGGAATTTTCTTTTACTAAAGTATAAAGTCAATACATTTTTGGAATTGTTTTACTATATTATTTTATTATATTTAAATATAATTAGTTTTTCTTATTAAATTTGAACCAATATTACACCTGCTGTTATCTCTCCTCAAACATGATGTCGCGCAAAGGATCTCCATCACTGATGTGCAAAATATTTTTCGTTCCGGTCATCTAAAATATAAAAATCTGAGTATTTAATTGTATATACATATAATTTGATGACAGCCATAAAAAAATTGATAATTGAGAAAATGGCAGTTTGTAAAAAAAAATCATTGATTTCGCTCTAAAAATTAATTGAATTTTTTACAATAAAAATAAAAGTATATAATGGATTGTTTTTGTTTTTCATCGTATGGTAAAAGGGTATTTCCACAACATGCAGTTCAAAGCAGATGATGATCGATCTATTAGTTTCATAGATATTATGCACCAGTCGCGAAAAAGTTGTTTCGACAAAAATGCGTTTAAAGTTTCAGCGCTAAATTATACATCAATTATACATCTGCTGAATTGGTCTATTATTTCGCTAATTTTACGAATTTTGATTTGAAATTTGCTACATATTTTTAACATTTTATATTATAATATTCCGTAAAAAAAATCGATTTTTTTTACTCAAAAAGTAAAATTCTTCCTTAAAATCCCTACTGAAAAACCTATTGTAAGTTTGGAATTTAGGACTGCCGCAGACAAAATTTCTATAACAGTAACTTTAAGACCTGAATTTAAACCAATAAGCCAATATAATAGCATACTGTTTTAGATCTACGTACTCTAACGGAAATGAAAACAGCAGTAAACTTATATAACATGAGTTTTAACTGGTTGAAACTCGTCTTATTGCGAGATTATGGATAAGTTTATTGTTATTTCCATTTCCGTTAGATTACGTTAGATCTAAACCAATATCCTGATTGGCTCATCAATTTAAATTTACGTTTTATGGTCACTGTTGCGGACTTTTGTGTGCGGCAGTCCGAAGAATTGCATCATAGAGTACGGTCGAAGTACTGTAACGAATGTTTCGAAGCACTTTTTAATTGGTCAATTAGTAAAATTTTTTTCATCCGATTGATCAATCAAATGTTTCGAAACATTCGTAATGCAACTCAACCACATTCATAATGCTGGATTTACACTGGATCCGACGTGCATCATATGACGTTCCGATGTGAATCCAGCAAAAGGAATAAGGGTTGTTGCAGTCAAAATTTCTGTAATAGTGAGGCTCTGCACAATAAAAAAAACAGGGAACAGAGGATAGCGAATAAGAATTTCAATCTATCAGAAACTGTGTATTCCACAATACATAATTTCTTGAAATTCTTATTCTCTGTTCCCTGTTCTTTTTATTATGCGGAGCCCATACTGTTACAGAAATTTTGACAGCTCTTAGGACTCGCACACAAAATTCTTTAACAGTATGCGTAAGATGTGAACTTAAGCTGATGAGCAAATCAGGATACTGCTTTAGATTACATAATCTAACAGAAATGGAAATAACAGTAAACTTATCCATAACCTAGCAATAAGGTGAATTTATCCTGATTGGCTCATCGGCTTAAGTTTACACCTTAAGGTTACAGAAATTTTGTGTGATAGCTCTTACTTCTTTTAAGACATGAACTTAAGCCAATGAGTCAATCAGGACACTGCTTTAGATCACAATCGATTATTCTTCTCATATTCAACTGTGATTGATCAATTTGCTGTTCTTACAGCTTCATCCACTACTATTAGATGTACAACTTTGCTTCCGCCGTTTTTCTATAGATGGCTTTAGCGGTAAGTGGTGGTCGAAATAAATAGATCATAGATGTCATATAATAAACTTGGGCATCTGTAAACATAACCCCATAGAAACATTAGTCGATTTGTGTCTGCATCATAAAGTTATTCTCGATTAAAAATGTCAGTTTACAAGCCAAATTCTCGTCATTTGCGGGAGGTTTTAATTTTTTACTTCAATATGAAGAAATCTGCGGCTGAGGCTCATCGAATGCTCTCAAATATTTATGGTGAGGCCGTTATTAGTGAAAGAACGTGTCGTGAGTGGTTTCAACGCTTCAAGAACGGTGATTTTGACGTCGAAGACCGGCATAGCGGTGGAAGAGAGAAGGTTTTCGAAGATGTAGAATTGAAGGCATTACTTGAGCAAAACTCGAGTCAAAATCAAGAAGAATTGGCACGATCATTGGGAGTGACTCAACAAGCCATTTCAAAACGCCTCAAAGCCATGGGAATGATTCAGAAGTAAAGAAATTGGGTGCCGTATGAATTGAAGCCGAGAGATGTTGAACGGCGTTTGTTTGCTTGTGAACAGCTATTTGAAAGACAAAGACGAAAGGGATTTCTGCATCGCATTGTGACTGGGGACGAAAAATGGGTTCATTACGATAATCCCAAGCGCAGAAAATCATGGGGAGTTCCCGGCCATGCTTCCATGTCGACGGCCAAACCGAATATTCACGGCTCCAAGGTCATGCTTTGTATTTGGTGGGACCAGCTCGGCGTAGTGTATTATGAACTGTTAAAACCGACTGAAACAATCACAGGCGATCGGTATCGAACGCAATTGATGCGTTTAAGCCGAGCATTGAAAGACAAACGGCCGCAATACAACGAGAGACACGATAAAGTGATTTTGCAGCATGACAATGCTCGACCCCATGTTGCGAAAGTGGTCAAGACATACTTGGAAACGTTGAAATGGAAAGTCCTACCCCACCCGCCGTATTCTCCAGACGTTGCTCCCTCTGACTATCACTTGTTTCGATCAGGCACACGGCCTGGCTGACCAGCATTTCCGGTCTTATGAAGAAGTAAAAAATTGGATCGATTCGTGGATAGTCTCAAAAGATGACCAGTTTTTTCGACGCGGGATTCGTACGCTACTCGAAAGATGGGAGAAAGTAGTGGCCAGCGAAAGTAGTGGACAATACTTTGAATCATAAATGTATAACCAGTTTTTTACAATAAAGCCTCGAATTTCGGAAAAAGAACGGCGGAAGCAAAGTTGTACACCTAATACTACTGCCATTGTAGACGCATAACGGAAATAGAAATAGCAGTAAACTTACCAATAAAGCGAGTTTTAATTGATTGAAATCATTTTATTGCAAGATTATGGATAAGTTTACTGTTATTTCAATTTCCGTTAGATTACGTAATCTAAAGCAGTATCCTGATTGACTCACGACTTAAGTTTATATTTTACGCATGAGGAAGTTTATATTTTATGCGTTCATTTATGCACTGGACAACACATTCTCTGCTTTCTTATCTGCTGGTCACTTGACCTAAATTTGCCGAATCCCTGTATAAATAGCTGCTCGCACCGTATTGAATCGTATCTTCCAATAGAATTTCTGGAAAAGCTGAGCTGATTAAAAATTAAGACCTATAGGTTACCCTCTATAGGTTACCCTCTATTCTTGAACAAATATCGCATAGAAATAGTAATTCCGTACACAA